ACCGGTGAGACCGGTGAACGGTGAACCGGTGGACCGGTGAGACCGGTCACTTTTCTGTATTTCGGTGTCTCTCCTATACGGTACATCTCAGTAGCTCGAGTACTTAATTTTTGTTAGAAGAAGTAATCCCTCGTCCTGATTAATTTTGGGGAATATTGATCAGAACTTTGGCGTTAAACAGAGAATCGAGCTGATAAGGTTGGAAAAAGTCATAATGGAGACTGACATATTAGTACTACTGGAAACATTCAGTCTTCTGTTGTCTGAGTAATAGCGGAAACCGGTTATCATCGCAAATTTTCGTAGTTCTATACGGACAGTATTGATATTGACTAGAAATACAAGGGTGTAGGTCATTTCACTGGTGAAAACCGATAACCATACCCATGGTTAGGGATGCACCGGTGACGATTCACCGTTCACCGGTCTCACCGGTCGATCGATTCACCGTCCACCGGTTCACCGGTCGGTACGGTGAACCGGTGGACCGGTGAAACCGGTGAACGGTGAACCGGTGGACCGGTGAGACCGGTGAACGGTGAACCGATGGACCGGTGAGACCGGTGGACGGTGCACCGGGGTACGGTGGGCCGGTGAGACCGGTGCACCGGTCACTTTTCTGTATTTCGGTGTCTCTCCTATACGGTACATCTCAGTAACTCGAGTACTTAATTTTCTTAGAAGAAGTGATCCCTCGTCCTAATTAATTTTGGGGAATATTGATCAGAACTTTGGCGTTCAACAGAGAATCGAGCTGATAAGGTAGTAGAAGGCCATAATGGAGACTGGCATATTAGTACTACTGGAAGCATTCAGTCTTCTGTTGTCTGAGTAATAGCGGAAACCGGTTATCATCGCAAATTTTCGTAGTTCTATATGGACAGTATTGATATTGACTAGAAATACAACGGTGTAGGTCATTTCACTGGTGAAAACCGATAACTATACCCATGGTTGCTGCTACAGTTGCAATCATTGTACATAGGTTTTTCGATGCAATTGCGCTAATCGCACTAATGGTTACTGGTACATCTAAGATCACTTTATATACGGTTACGGATCTAACTATCATCACGGATACCAGAGTTATCAATCTAACTACAACAGCCGTAGCTATGCTTACCAATCTAATTACTATCATCTCAGTTATGGTTACTCGCCAAACTACGATTATTTTAAGTAAATCTATTGGTGCAGCTACGATAAATGCATTTACGGTTACCACTTCAATTATGATTACCGCATTGATAGTTATCAACAAGATTATATAACCATGCGTACGGTCACCGGTATAACTACGAGAAGCATACCTACGGATACCGATCTAAGTACAATAACTGTTTTTACCATTAGTAGTCAAGCTAGGAGTGTCATAGGTACGACTGATAGCCCAATTGCGATAACCGCACTTACAGTTACTGGTCTAACTACGATTCTCCTAGGCACAGCTTTTAGGTCAAAATGAGTGCCATAAAAAACAACATTTTTAAGAGAGTACGGCTTTTATAAAGGTTAGCAAAGTAAACAGGCGCTGGAGAGTCTGAACTCAAAGTCAGTCTTTGAATATTTCAAACTGAAGTTTTTAGATTAAGTGAGTGTTTATTATGAAAGTAACTATTTCCTTGATAGGTTGATGAAGGGAAATGCAACTTGACGCATTCGACTCTAATACTTAACAAAACCATAGCATTCATCAAGGAACCATTTTATTGATAATTAGAACGTAGAACCTTGATAAATTGGTGTCAGATTCAAGCTTCTGGAAATCCATTCACTTTCGTTACTCTTTATTAAATATCAGCATCTTCTTAAAAAGCCTTTCCTTAGCGTGCAAAATCAAATTAACCATTTCCAAAATTTGAATTAAGATCCAGATTTTCAGATCGTGGTCATCTTTCTTCAACTTTCATAGGAATTCGTTAGTGTGTTAGAAAATACTATATTTCACGAAAGCCCTCTAGAACTGATAATTGTACCTATGGTTATCATAATTGACTCTGAAATCGTAGGTACGGTTTTCTTAGTTGTAGCAATAACCGTACCAATAGTTCACATAGTGAACCCGTAATCATACCTAAGGTTATCGTCATCGTTGTCTCACTAACATTCATAGCGATAGTCGAAGCTATACTCCTTACTAGACGGTACTATAACACATAAAGCGTTTCCTTCATACTTGATGACTGTGATTCAATTAAGAAAAGGGTCAGCGGAACCATGAAAACTTATGCCAATCTCTGATGTAACAGCACCAATGATTGATGCAAGCATGTAGGTGCCTGAAAAATGATCAAAATCGACCATATCAGTGAGCTCCTAATATTCTTACCTGCCATGCTCGCCTTAAACTCTAGGATTGAAACCGTATTCTTGATTTCAGAGTGTAGTCGCATTCGAGACACTTATGCAAGAATATAATTATCAGGCTAACGAGGTAGTCGGTATAAAAATGAAGACCTACAGTGGTGGCTGCTAGACGAATATTGTCTGTTATGTTGAGCCTGAACTAGTCAATAAAATTCTTTGAATCTGCCATACTCATAGGTTTCCACTCTCTAATTTCCATTATTAGCATTCATGTTGACAGTCAAAACTGTAACGTCGATTGGAGGAATTATATGATTGCCAATCTTCCTTTTCGCAAACTGGCTGAAATTCGCTAATTGGCAAATATACTAACGAAAAATGGTCTAGTTGTAGCTGACTTGATGTGGATATGGGTGCGGGTGCAAGTCTGAGGGTTGTATATGCGCTTAACCTATACTCATACCCACGATCCATACACATCCTATAATACTTAAATATTCTATCATCAATTTAGCTGAGCCATAATTCTACGGATTAAATTTGGCGAAATACACACTAGCGACTCGCGAATTGATCAATACATTATGACGAAAAAAGTTTATTGGCGAATTTCACACTGGGAATTCGCCAAATTGACAAATTTCTCCATGACAGTCGCCCATTGGTAAATATACTAAGGCAAAAATAAATATTTTTTGATAAATTTCATACTAGAGATTCGCCTATTGGCGAATGTCGTAGGGAAATTCGCCACTAGTGAGTGCACTGTTGGCGAAATTCCGAATAGGTGAACTTACAGAGAGACAGCTGAGTGTACGACAAGACTGATAATAAAAAATCTTTTCCAAGATGTGCATGACTACAAAGCTAATAATAGAATCGATAGGGTGACCAATGTCTACGGTGATGGTGAGTAAATGGACACTGCTGGTTACCCTGAGGCTTGATAAATCTGTAAATGCTAGAAACCATCTATCACCGTGGGTCTCCGCTCTAGTAACGGGCATTATACGACTACATGGTAACCCTTAAAAGTATATGATTTACAGCGATGCATTATCGTATATGAAAGCTTTTTTCCTAAATCAGTATGATAGCGATGCCAGTTTTATGACCGATATTGTCACAGGAACCTACGGTGATGATGGTTGCAAGGGCATTACTGATTACTCTGAGCATCAATAAGCTTGTCAAATGCTTCAAAGCGGACATCGCTCTAGGTTCCTGCTCTCTGACCAGCATTTCAAAATTTCATCATGATGTACAAAACTATATATTTGAGTACGCGGCGATACATCATGTGAAAACTTTTTCCAGAGACTGTCTACGACGTTAGTTAGACGACTGACAGATTCACGAAATCATACGATAGTGATAACTAGTTTACCATTACTGGTTCCTCTGGTCTTCAGTGAGTCTGTGAAATATTAGAAGCTATCTGCTACTGAAGGTCTCCGCTCTCCGAACCAACATGATTAGGATTAATGGTAGTGCGTAAAAACACGTAATTTAGATCTGCTCACTATAGCAGATGAAAATTTTCTTCATCGATGAATGTGATATTCATGCTGGTTATGGCACCGATAGGGTCAAGAAAACTTCCGGTGGCGGGCATTAAAAGCGTACTGCTGGTTATCCTAAGCTTGATGAGTCAATAGAATGTTATAAACCGGCGATCACCGTACATTCCTGACATTTTAACAGCTATTGTTGACCTTAAAAGTGTTTGTTGACGCGGCATACCTAAGTTTTTTGTATAAGCATCTTTCATACTCAGATAGCCTTGCGCTAACGAGTATCAGCTATATAAGCATCCTAATGTTATCTGGCGTACGCCTACGGTCCGCATCGTATTGAAGGAGTGATCAGCATGCAGAAACATTTTATTAAATTTTGTGAAGTATGCCGATAAATTACAGAAAGTAGACGAATATCAAATATATGTGCACTTCTCGATTATGAGATGGCCAGTTTCACTTTTAATTGGTCTCAGTTGAAACTGAGTAGCTTTATTTGTAGTATATTATGAACGGTGCTTACGGTGCTCGTATACCGGTGGAACGGTGAACGGTGCACCGCTACTGCGGTGACCGGTCCACCGGTAGCACCGGTTGGTACGGTGCACCGGTGAACGGTGAACCGGCGGACCGGTGAGACCGGTGAACGGTGAACCGTAGACCGATCACACCGGTGACCACCGTCACCGTTGCATCCCTAATTTAGATCCGTTCGAAGTTAGAAACAAATATCACTATTCCATTTAGCATGGTGAATTACTCCTATCCAGCTGCTGTTCTAGGTGTCAAAGATGAATAAGCTGAAGTCTAGGATGTTGAGAATAACTTTATAACTCTTGAATCGATTAAGCTAGGAACATCATCTTTGGATAGATCGAAAGAGAACACTTTTTCTATTGAATGGCTTTGTTAAAATTCTAAATCAAAATGAAAATAACTTCAGAGTATCATTTTCGAAACTATCCAGGATATGGGTGCGGGTTAAGAGAAGAACTATACCAACACCCACATCCACACCCATGTTCAACTAAACCGTATAAGATGACATATTCTATGTAGAAGTAAGCATTCAAACTATGATTTTTGTAGATTTTTCTTCATCAAAAGACGCAAAACTGTATAGTCTTCAATCATGTAGGTTTCATTTCCTACAGCTCAACAGTCTCCTCATCTGTTATTCCAAAAATAGATTCCATCGGATCTTTATATTTGAAAAACCCACATGATGGTCGTGAGATTCCGTAGCCAAGGACACGCAACTCTGCTGGACTCAATTGAAGTTCTTTGCATCGTTCGGGTGGTACCATTAAGTATTGATTTTCGGCTTGCCGATAAAATCCTTTGGCTATAAATATGCCCGCTGTTTCGCGTCGCTCATCTTGAGTAATATTTCCTCCTCCAGCATGATAAACATTTCCTACAAAAATGGTTGCATCACCGGGTTCTATTTCAGCAGGCACAGCTTCCTCTACCAATGGTATGCGATTTACATCTTCCCATAGATGTGAACCAGGAATCACAATTGTTGCACCATTATCTTTGTGAGTACGTGTTAAGGCAACTACACAACCAATCATCATTGGCCAATCACATGGTCGCGTATGAAAATCAGCATCATCACGATGAAGTGCTTGTTGTTTGCCGCCAGGGTTGACACGAAAGCCCACAGTAGATGAAATAATCGGTTTTGAACTAACAGTTTTCTTTTGTGAACCAAGATAAAAAGTGTACGTCGATGTGAGTAGTCGATTTGCCACAGCCAGAAGCAAAGGATGCATGGCTAAATCAATACAAGGACGTGAAATGGCAAAAAAACCAGTAGCTCGTTGTGTTGTCGAAGGAAAGAAACAAGATTGATCGACAACATCCGAGTTAAAATGAGGCGCAAGATCTTGTTTCACTTGTTCAACATGGTTTCTTGAATACATTCCAGTAACAATCGCAACGCCATCGCGTCGAAGACATTCAAGTATTTCGTTTTCGGCAGTCTCCGACGATGCTGATATTCTTGTAATACTTGTTTTTGTAGTAGACATCATCTCAACAGAAAAAAAAGATACTAGATCAGTTTTTTCACCTTATTTCAAAAAAAGAAAAGATAAATTCTTAGCTATGTTTTTGTCGACATTATCGAATATAAAGGGCTACGAATGTCAATAAGAATATCATCTCGTGTCGGATGAGAAAGGAACGAAAAAAAAAGTTTATCAGTGTCGACTTTTGTTGTGCATGTTTTATAGCTTACACAACAGTGAACGAGTAAAGTATTATTTTTGCAATAGAATTTAATAAAAAAACTTTTTGTGCAGCCTTTACTAGATGTGAAACTGAACGCTGACGTCATACATTATCTTATCTCGTTTCACATTGGTTCTTACGTGTAAGAGAAGAAAATATTAACTTGACTGGTGTTTTATGGATACATATTATTGATCGAAATCGGTTCTTCATGCTAAACCTATGCCTGTAACAATAAATCGATACCGAACCAGTTTTGTCTTCTGTTTTTTATTCGAATTTGATATAGGTCAGACAACATACAAAAATAAAAAAAGTGATGCTTCTCTGTTCAAGAGATAAAACAGGTACCCTTAACAAATGTATAGAATATTGTGTCTAAAATTTGTGAAAAAAATGAAACGATCCAAATATGAAAACATCAATTTTATGTGTTTTCTATAATCAGATTATGAGAAAAATCAAAAACTCTGATAGAAAATACACACTTTTCAAGTATTATCGCGGTGATAATTTTAATTATTAGCCTTCCTTTTTTCTATTTATGATTTCTGTTCTTAGTATTTGTTATTTTTGCATTCGTATGTGGATTTCATATCTTAACTTCATTAAAACAGAGCTGATTTCCTTCTTTTTAAAGGTAATCGATGCAACTATGAAGAAAAAGATCATTTATATTTAGATGAATCATTTTCACTGTTAGTTGGAAGTGGAAGTGAAGGAAGCAAGCCAAAATAATCGACCATTTGATGTCAGTATGAATAAAGTTCTCTTCAAATTCGTTTTAATTCTTTGATGAGCTTCATTCGACGTTGCAAAATTTCTTCTTCTAACATATACAAATTTGATCCAGCTGTAAAAATGAACTATCTTCATTGTCGAAACATTGTAAGTGCATGATATTTTTTCTCGATATAGTAGGAAAAGTCTTTGCGACAAGAAAATCATAATACCAAACATCTATCTATGTGGGATGATGTCACATATGGCTCTTTCAGATGAGAAAAGACACAGAGACAAAATTTCTTCACGGCTGAGATGTGAATATTCCATGTAAACAACTATACTGACGTCAAAGGTTCGATGCTTCATACGCTCTCAAGAAACTAAGCTCTAAATCTTCGTATATAGCTTGAAAACAATTATTTCAAGTTTGTTCAAAGAAAAGTTTCTTCATCGGTAATGTCAAATATGTTGAAATAGTGACTTCATCGTCATTATGTGGTCTACAGTATGAATGTGAAGCTAACATAACGGCCAATCAGATCTTAGATATGTCTAATCAATAGAAAAACAGCATAGAATATCAATTGCGCTCCACAAAATAACAAGCTTTTTCCTTAGTTACTCTAACAAACACTACTAAAAAACTTTGAACTAACAAATTTTAGTATTAGATGTTAATTTTAAACACTTCACAATCTACAAAGTCAGTCTCACATTTACTGTGTTTTCAGACATATTGTTAGATATTGAATATCATTCTTCACTGAATGATACGTATTTTATCTATCACCCATACTTGTAAGAGAATTTATTTCCTTCCCACGATACTAACACTAACATTTTCTACTATTTTCAAAGATGAAATGTTTCTCATATTATATTGAAATTTTAGTATATTTTTACCATAAATGATGGAAATAAGATTTTCTGTCTACTAAAATAGATCGATATGGAATATGGTTGTAGACATTAGGTCTTTACTTCATTTCCACACTCACATCGACAACTTTATACGTAACCAATAGAAAATATGGTAGTCTGCTCTGGAATGAATATGACATGATGATTATGTTAAAAAGAGTAAAGAGTTGTGACATATTCTGTTCGGTAAAACTATAAAAATCAAGGTGTACATGTTGCGGGTATGATGACGCGTGTGTAAATGAACAGAGAAGATCTACAATCAAATCCTCACTTTGTTCTCATCCATGCATGTACTCACAGCCACTTTTGAATGACTTTTGTTTTCGTCTTTGTCTCTCTATTGTTTTCTAAACCTTTTTACTTACGACTTTGTCCCGTCAATGATTTGTCTAATATTCAAAAGAATTTGTACTGATTAAAACAATAGAAAAGTATCACTTTTAGTTGATGATTAGAAAAGGAGAGCGATTTTTATTAATGTTTTGATTGATGACGAAAATATACTTTCGTGGTATACATCAAAACCAATAAATAAAACAGCAATGACGAGGCAATTAATGCACTTATTATCAGACTATAAAGACTTTTTCTGATGTAAAGATTTTCTTGGATTTTCAACAGATAAAAGTAACAAATAGTTCATCAATCAATCACGTAATATAGTTTCTTAGATGTAAGGCATAAATCAAAGCAAAGAAAGTAAGAAATCTGATGAAGTCATATTCTTTTCATACATGTTGATAATTTATTATGTTTATATGTGTAATACAGAAGAACCTTTCAAATATGTCAAAACCAATAGAAGATTTAAACTATAACAAGCTCATCCCTCAAAAGATTGAAGACAGAATGTCTTTACTCTCTCGATAAATTGTGCATGTTTGAATTTCATTTAAAGAAAATTTTGGTACAAAACTATAGGACATTAAGTATAGAAATTTTATTCTTCTGAGTATTACGAGGTAACTTATAATAGATAATATATTTTCTGTCAAGAATGAAACAAAAATCACATCGCATGATAGATAACTTTCTTCCAGCTCGCCGAATCATCAAGATTGCCTGTAGATCCACATCGTCATCTACCTGCAGATCCAACAATATACCAACAAAGACGATACGTAGGATCAGTACTCAAATCTTCATCACAATTATTTCTCAATGCACTATTCGGTCCCTAAACAAAATCCCACGAATTCCAATTCACAGTATTCATTGAAAAATACCAACCGATCCCATTTGCTTGATGGGTCATAGTGTTGCTAACTGAACAATTATATAACACATCGGCTCCATTTCCCATAGCAGCTACAGTTAAAAATGTATTACCAACTAGACGACAACTTAATAAGAGTTTATCCTTATAGCATGTCGATAAAATAGAACTAATATTTGGAAACATTGGTACCGAGCAAAGAGTAGAGTAACAGAGTGATCAAGCTATAGATAGTGTTGACGGATCAAAATTTAACTGTGGACCATAAGCTGTTAGTACTGCAGTGATAGTCGTAGTAGTTGTTGTGGCTGTAGTTGACGTCGTATCTGTATTTAGCAAAGCAAAACATAATGATGATGTTTTCCAAGGAGTATAGACAATATTCTAAGGGTAATCGTTTGGAAATAAAAGAAAATCATAGTTCTAGGTGGATAAATTTGATCGGATCTTTGTGAGATACAGCCAACCTGCAAAATCCAAAGGGAATCCAGATCGATGAAATCACTAGCGTATTCAACAGCCTGAGTCTTCATTATATTTGATGGAATTCAACAGTCGGATTGTAATGAAGTTGTGATGAGTTTCGATTGAATCTATCTGGCAGGTGTGTGATAAAATGTAACAATCAATATCTATAGGAACACTGAAACTTGCATGCGGACGATGTTTTTGTACTCACCTATAAATTCACATCGGGCTACTGACTTTCTAACATTCTCCATCGAATTTAGAAAAGTTCAATTGTGTTTTCTTTAAGAATTTTAATTTCATTTGTGTTTAGATGGATGAGATATCTGACAGAGACTACATCAATATATATAGAGTGTGGGTGTTACAGACAACTTATCTCTTCTCACACCCACACCCCGTAATATTATTAGCGTTATAGGTATCAGTGTTCTCGCTCCTTGAGGTTCCGTTTCTAAGAAGCGAAAGTCTACTTGATTCTTCTGACACTATCATTGAAGTGATTGTGGTTAAAAAAATACTTACTAGCAGTAGTTGTTGTTGATGTTGTCAGTGCCAAACTTAAAGGAATAGCAAAAACAGCGACACCCGCAACTAAGATCAGTATGCTTGCAGTAATTTGTATTACAATTGGCGAGAATAAGCTGTTCCTATTATAGTCATCGATTGTGTATAACATTAGTTGAAATTTATACTTACGTCGTTCGACATGAAATTTGTGGAACATATGTCGAATAAGTGTTCATCGTAGGATCTACATTCTTGAAAAACAAACACATCGAGATTCCATTAAAAACTAATCATAACTAATCCAAAATCCTTGATCATTCTGTTGCGATACTGGTATCGATGAGAACGAATCATAAATAAGCGCATTCGCCTTAGGCATCTTGTTGTTTTGCTTATTCAATCAAAATGAAAAAAGACTCAAAACAAATCAAAGAAACATAATAAAATGTACATCATTATTCTTAATATGTGTTTACATCCATTAGTTAAGTAGAAAAAAAAGAAAAGCTTCGTGATTTTTTTTGTTTACTTATAAAAAGAAATTGGCACTTTATTGACGTATTTTCTACTGAATGAAATTTACACATGTATATTACCAGTATTGTATCATCCATTGTGAATTTAGTACTCGTCTTATTCTTACGAGAAGAATGTAGACAACAATTTTCTCAGTTTTTATGATGCAATATAGATTCTGAATGTTATACTTGTCATAATAGAGAGCGCAATCGTAAACTACATATATAATTCTATTATAAATTGAAAATATAAAACAGGTGTTACAAGTGTTTTTTTCGTTAAGTCTAAGTTTTTCACGAAGATGTGTTTCATGAAATCCAACATAGTTACAAGTATTAAATAACTTATCACATTTTTTTTCTTTGGTCATTATTAGTGGATGCTTTTTTTTCTGTGATTATGGAAAACAATCAACAAATTATAGCTGATTGGAGAACTGTCTTACTATTCATAATGGTTTTCTTTATTTTTTTTCTATTAATTTATATGTCAACAAAGCTTTCGGTCCTATTCATTTGTGACGGTATCTTAAAGATAACATCAGGCATAAAATAAAAGGAAAGAAATGTTGCATAATATATATATATATATATGTATTTATTTTCTCAATTTCGTTATCTTTTTTCTCATTGTATGTGTGGTAGATTTGTACAATACAAGCGAGACAAATGTCAAAATTGAGAGAAGATAAAAATATTCATTTGTTAAGATTGATGAATAAAACGATGATCAATATTGATTTGTACTTGTTAACGGGGATTTATTGGAATATCATCAATATAAAATCTACAACAGATAATGGAGCTTTCAAAATATAGAAAAAATATTATTTACTTTCTAAAATCTCCGATTTCCTTTTCAAATGCTTTCATTTCATCAACATCATTGTTCTGTGGAATAGATAAATCATCTATATGTTCTTTAAATTGTAAAGAAAACAGTAAATTAACGATAAGTATAAAAGAATAAGTTTTGTATACCTTGAAAAACGTTGGTAGGTAATGTTGATGGTAGAATAGCAAATCCAGCACCACTATTAAATGGATCATAAAGAGGAAAATCATTTGGAATTGTTGATGTTTGGAATTGTTCTTTATCAGAATATATCCATTGGGATTCGTTAGAATTGGTTATAGGTATATCATTCCATGTTGAAGTTAAATTACTAACATTATCATTAATTGAAGAATAAAGTGAAGATGAAGTAGAACGTGGTTCAGATGAAGGTCGTTGGATACAACGAGATTTTGTTTTATTTAGAGGACCAGGTGCTGGAGAAAAAGTTGGAATTGAATGTTGAAGAGAACTTGACGGAAGAAGATAACTATTTGAATCCAAATAGGAAGAGGATGGTGACCCGTCAAGTAGAAGAACATCATTAACTTTATTCGAAAGTAGGCGAGAAGAAGATGGAATAAAAGGTGGTGTTGTAGCAAGAAGAGTCGATGATGGTGTTACTAAATAAACAAAGGAAAAAATCTATTGTTCTACATTCAACATAAGAAGAATTGCTATACCTTGAGTTTGTTGATGAACAGTCCAAGCAGATGGTGGTTCTATGTTTTGCTGCTGCTTTTGCGGATTATGATTTTTCACTAGATGTTGAATACGTGGTGCATCTGAAATAGTGGTTTGTATTTGTTTTTTATTACTATTTGATACTGTTTCTGGTATTAATTTTAGCGGAGCAAGAGTTGACATATTTGCGTTTTTCGTCTTAGTCGACGTTCTTTGTTGCTTCTGTTGGATATTATTCGATGGTATAACAGATGCAGCAAGCTGTGATGGATTAGGTGTTGGTGTTGTTTTATGTTTACTTTGTTTACGAGAAATCGTTATCCATTTTACTTCTTCTTCTTCTTCTACTACTTCCGATGGAATAGAACTTTCAGATGAAATATCAATATTTGTTGAGATAGAATCAATTTTTTGAGAAGGAAATGTTTCTCTAGATGATGTAGAAAGTTTATTTGTCGAAGATTCATCGTCTTGTTTTTGTTGCTGTTCAAGTTTTACTTTAGCCTTTTGTTTTCGTTTTGATAAAGTTTGTGGAGCATCAATAATAGGAATTTTCGGTGTTGATAGATTTTGTTTTTTCTCATTGATATCTTCATTTGATGGATTTGTTTTGATTCGTTTATTTTTTTTCTTTTTATTCTTTTTTGATGTTGACCCATCTGATGCCGTTTCATTTCCATCTATGAATCGAACTAAATCATCAATATTATTATCACATTGTTTGATTTTTGATTTATTTCTAGTAGGTGATTTTGATTGATCTGAAGTATTTTCTACAGTACGCTTAGTTAATTTAAGTTTTAATCGTTCCTTCATTTCGATATCACGTTGATTGAAACCGCACGTGAGAGTTGTGTTAGCTGCTAAAGACATACAAGCTACACAACCATTTGTAGCTGAAGAATCAGATTCGGAAAATAAATCACAACAACAATCATCATAATCTTTATCATTAAAAGAAGGCTTTTGTAAATCATCGTTTGTTTTTGATGATCCAAATGAAGATAATAATGCAGAAATTTCATTAGTTGAAGTAGCCTGTCGAAGAAGTTGATTAAGATTATTATATGCAATAGTTGAATCAGATTTTATTGAGGAACCTAAATTAAAAAAATTCAATTGATCAAGCTGATAATGGAAATATTTAGTTGATTCTAAACCTGGTTTGCATGATAGATTAATACTTAAACTTTTTTGTTTCGAAGATGACAATGGAGTAGATTCATTAGCTGTTATTGAACCAAATGTTCCAGCTGTAAATGAAACTGATTGAATTTTTGCTGATAAAAGTGATGGACATGTTGGAATTTCTGTTTTATTTAATAAAGGAACAGTTAATGGACGAAAATCAACTGCCAATTTCGATGTTGTCGATGATGATGGTTTAGGGGGTAGAATTAAATTTGGACTCAGAGAAGTTTTTGATAAAAACGAAGAGGAAATATTTGAAGTTGTTGTGGAATTTTCCTTTCGTTGATTTGATGAATGTTTTCTTGATTTGGATTTTTTTGTTGATGTTCCTGAAATATGAAAATTAATACTTTGTTTCAAGCAAATATAGACAAAAAAATAAACTGATAAAATGAAACTCAAGTAAGAAATTAAGTTATCGACATAGGATTTGATCAAGCTTAATAAGAATTCGATGTGGGTGCATAATAATTTCAAGCTCGCTAAACCTGGTATTAGAACTCGTATGCGCATCAGAATCAATGAGGGATAAGTGGAAACTCAATAACTCGACAATCGCACCAGTGAGCGATGTACAGTGTTTTGAAATCCAGAGAGAAAAACTCTTGACGTTTTTTTGTCTGATACTTTTCCAGGCAAAATTATTTTAAAACCTACCATCTTCCCAAAGCATTCATAGAAAAATGCCTGAAAATGATGTTCCATTACAAGAAAATTTTGATAAAAGTCAGAAATTTTGCTAAAAATTGACAAAGTTTTATACAATATGACTGAGTTAGTACTTAATTTTGTTTGCTCAGCATTGATATATGTGAACATAAGTATCTGAATCGTATCTTTGAACTGTAGGCTTATATCCGTCTCTCTTAAATTCTAGCACAGATTATTGGATACCTTTTTGACAGCAATTTTTAAAAATCGATCTCTCTAGTCTCTAGACTGCATTTCTTTATATTATTTCTTTTTCATTGACTTCTGTTTTCTACACTAGCATTTGCCACAATGTTTGATGATTGGAAAGGGTTCAAAAGATTTACTTTACATCATGCTATTCGCTAATAATGATAGATTTATCGAAGACACTTGGAAACGAAAGAAAAAAGCATAAGCTCGAATCTTTTTTGTTTTCAATGAAGATGAACGTTCAATTGAAAATTATGGTGCATTTTCCTATTTTTTTAATGCTTACCATTGGATGTTTTTTCTTTATCGGTTTTAGTAATTTGATTTGTTATTAATTTTGTATTTTGTTCACAATCATCTGTTGTTATATTTTCATTTAATTTTAATTCATCGATTTCATGTTGAATTTGTGTCATAGACGAAATATTATTTAATATGTCATGATGTAATTGTTCATGAAGATCATTAGTATTATTATTTTGAATTAAACTATCAGGTGTTTCCTTAGTATAACTTGATGATAACGTATGATTATTGAGTAGATATTCATCAAAAGATGATATTGATGAAGATTCTTTGCCACCAATACCTGAACATATTGATGAGCCATTTGAACCTTGTGGACATGTGGTAAGTTCTATCGACGAACTATTGGATGATGGAATGTTCAGAGCATTTGTTGTTGAACTTAAATAGATAATTCAATAAAAACATGATAAAAGCTTTAAACTGTGATCGTATTATTCAATTTCAAATGTCAAATTCGATCAAACCCAGAGAAAAGATGCTGTATCTTGAGACGAGATTTGACAAATTAAAAAAAAATGACTATATAACTGTTATTCTTTGTCACAGACAAAAAAACTACTTTTGCATATTTCACAAAAAAATGTTTCACTGCCAGCTGCGATAACTACAATTAATTTCTCATACAGCCTAGTAATTTCATATTTTTCAATCTTAATCATGATAATATTCTAAGTAATGTCGTATTTTTACTGCGCACAAATCATACTTCGCTTATAAGGAGATTCTTCAAACTGATAGCCCTAAAAGATTTGTATTATTAGCGCTTTCTTCTTGAGTTATAATTCATTTAATTAGTTTTCGGCCTATTGATAGAAAATACAAAGAAAACTGAATTGATAAATGTTAATGAAAAACTTTATTGTAGGACTTCCATCTAAACAATGGATCATAATAAGTAGCAAAATATGAGCTCAAACGAAATTTATCAGTTGAAATAATTCCCTTGTTAGATCTTTCATGTATTGTTTTTTGTTAAATCAAAGAACTCAATGATTGTCCTCATACGATATTTTTATATATTTGATAAAAGTGAACAAATAGTTATTGTGCCTGAGTAACTTACATTATTCATCGACTAACTTTAATTCGATTTTTCGTGTACAAGAATTTCGCAACTTGACTGAAGTTTAAAAGAGCTTCTGAAATCAAAACCAAACTCCAATAAAGAGAATTTAGTCCTCTTTGATTGTCTGCGTTACCTATAGTTTCTTGTTTTAATATTTCATCGTTATTTGACTCTCTTTAAAAGGACTATATTCAATTCAATTATTCTAACCTGTTTAAAATTTCCTTAGTTAATCGTTGTTTATTTTTAATTGTCTGTGCTTTTTTACATATTTTCTTCTTTTTTGTTGTAACAATAATACCCATTTGATTTCGTTTTTTAATCAAAGAATTTCGTGAAATCGAAGTCATTTTTGTTTGGCAATCTTTATATAAACAAGCAATTTCTGACATTTCTTCATCGAATGTTAAAAATCTATTTAATAATTGTGTATATTCAGCCGGTGAATAATTGTTATCAATGTCATGTGATGGTTGAAGTAAATCAATCATAGTTGACATAGAATGTTGAATTTTTTTATCCATATAAACTAATTTTTCATATAAATGTTTATTATATAATAACCAAGTTAAATGAAACGATTTCATATAATGTTCTTCCTAAAAGAATCAATAAAGAAATGATTTCATTATTTCGAAAAAATCAATACGAACTAAATAAGAAATAATTGTTGAAACATTTTTAGCTGCTTGTATAAATGTATTATATTCATCCAAAAAATATGAAATAAATAAATGTACATCATTGGATGTTTTTGAAAATGTTTGAAAACGTTTTAATACTTGATTTCGTATTTCATTAACATATTCTAATACAATCGATTCAATATTATTAAACAAAGATTCAGCATCTAATTGAGTTAATCTACAATAATAGAAAAGCTATCGAAAAATTAATCAAATTATTTATTTTATGATTACATCTGTACATATTGTTTTGCTTTACATATATCATTCGTTGAATGGTTTTCTAAAAGAGAAACAGAAACAAATATAAAAATGACATATACTAATAAGAGCGACTCTATGTCAACAAATACTTGAGCGAGTACTTATGGTTACCTACACACAATTAGGATATGATCGACTATAGATTTGATTTTTCGCATCATCTTTATCAAGTATGTACTTTAGTCAATTAGTCGATCATATATGAAAAATTTCTTTAATCGATTTATCAATGAAATTGAACAGCAAAGATTATTGATTAATGATTAGCATTGCAAAATTTATGTTGACAATAAAACTAACCTGCAAATTCTCTATTTGTTTCTCGATAAATACATTTAATAATATGAGCAATATCTTGCCATAATTTTCTAGTATCTAATGATATTAATTCCGAATCATTCACTGATGAACATGATGAACACCAATATTCATCATCTGAACTTATATCTGGTACAATAATCACTTGTTCATTTTCCTATTTAATAAATATGAAAGAATAATCAGTGACAAACAAAAACAAACCTCTACTTTTTCTTCTAAAGAATTTTTACATTCATAATTAGAACTGATAGAATTTTGAAAATTGTTATTTTCATCTTGACAATTCAAACAGGAAATAGTCTTAAAAAAACAACAGAAAACAGAAGAAATTTATAGGACATTAGAAAAAACGAAAACCAAATACAATTTGTGGTTTTGATTGTTCTTGTAAATCCATTTTTCAAAAACCGAACAAAAATCTAAAATTGATTACTTGTTTATTGAGTAATGTTCATTTCTATGAGTAAGACTATATATATATGATAAGACAACCACTATGGCGCAATTTTGACAGATGTCTTTAGTTGAAGATTATGACTAATTTCAGTTTTTATATATTCAAGTGAATCATATAAGGAAGAAAGAAGAGGAAGGAAGAAAGTAAAAAAGAAAGAAAAAAATTTATTTAATGAAGAAAAATTATATTGAGGACTGATCTGCTATTTTTCTATTTGCTAATGAAATGAACCAATCAAACAAGATTTTTGATGTATGTGTCTGTCTTTTAATGAAATTTTTATTTATTGAACAAGAACAACACAATGGGTGATCGATACAATATTCATAGTCAACTTGAACATTTACAATCAAAATATGTTGGTAAGTTTAAATTTTTTTTTGTTGAATAAGCTTTTAATGAAAAAAAATGATACTCTTACAGGGAAAAAGTATTTAAAATAGTTGAAAGTACATGGTTTCTTGTAGAAAGAAACAAGACAATGTGGGAATATTTCCATGGAGATTATTTGAAATTACATGAGCTTAAAGAGAATCATTTGTTTTTTTTTTTCATTATTTTTGAGAGTTTGAATAGTTTTCGAGTAATCCTGTTCGAAAAAATATCAGAGTAATGAAATTGTTCGAATTGTTTTCTCACTTTTCAACACATATTTTAAGAATATATATAGGACTTTTAAACTCAATATCTTGAAAGATGTTGTCCGATAGACTTTCTCTAAAGACTAAGAGTATGTCGAATGGGGAACAGAACATCAGCTTCCAAATCCTGAAATATTTTTTTTTAACTAAGTTTCCGCGTTTCGGTGAGTTTTTATTCATCAGTTCTAAGAAAAATCCCGTTAACTAGTAAAAATTATCCTAGTGATCATCTGAGTCATCTGTTCTTCAATGCTAACGAGTTAGAGACACCTCTGCTACAGACTTATCATAGTTTTGTTAGATTTTCACTATAAGATAAAATATTAATAGTTAATTAAACAAAGATTATTTAAATTAAAATTTTGTCTAAAAGTATATTTCATGTTTCTGTGAAAAAAGAATTGCTTCCTTCCTAAAATATTCAAAAACTTACAATTTTTTTAGGTCATTTTCTGAGGGCTGATTATATCCAGAAAGAAACTTTCGAATACTCTTAGGATCATGTGATCTCATTATAGATTAAAGTTCATATTAATAATTTATTCTTTAATGTTTTTACTAATGTTCTATTGTATGATATAAAATCTACAAATCGATCGTATGTCTATTGACAAAATCAATCGATCCAATTCCATTTTGGATTATTTTAAATTAAAGATGCTTTGTATATGCCCGAATATATTATAGTTAAACAGGATGAAATTTTATTGTCCATGATGAAAGACAGTTACCTACAAGTGAAAGATTAAAAAACAATAGAGAAAAACTTCAAATTGAAAATATTTCTTCAAAAGCTAGTTTACACACGGCCTCATACATAATCATTAAAAGCTTTCTTTTTATTTAATTAAGAAGAGAAAGATCAACTCAGCTTCAAAATTTAAAGGACCAGTTCATGATATTGAAAATCGATAGCTCTGCAGAAATAAATATGTGAGAATATTTCTAAGTATTTGACATAAAAATTGCAGTTATTTAACGTAAACTTCAGAAGGATTGTGAGTAGATCAGATTGAGAAAATTCATAGTCTTATTTTGACACTATATGAATAAAGAAAATTAATAACTATACGATAATCAATTAGTTAAGATTGAATGGAAGATATGGTAAAATCTACTTTCTAGAAAGTTCTAATGTCTGCACATCATTATGTAACCAATAATACATTCTAAAGAATATTGCTGCAAAAATATAGAATAATGCCGATAATATATAGCTAAACTCTATTTTTACTTATCGAATTAAAGGGACATAACACCTAGTTTGGCATCAGTTTCGACTGAAAAATCCATTATATTATGACAAAAATATCCAATGTGTTGTGCCAGTGTTAGAATGACTGTGAAGTGTGTGTGGATGATGATAAGTGTCGTACCTACATTAATATTCTCACTAATCTTCTTATATATCAGTTTTATCTTCTTTCCTTTCATAATTGTGAGTGAGTTAGCGTTTTATTTTAAATATATTTTAGAAGTCAAATATAAAGGTAAATAATTACTTTATTTAGTACTAGTGATTAATCTTCATATTCAAGTTACTCAGTGAAACATTTGTGGATAGCTAAAAGTAATTAGACGAGTTTCCTAAACCAACTTACTCCATCAAAATTTAGACTTTTTAAAGTATTCTTTATTTTAAAAATTAATTTTCTACGCTTATTTCTCAAAGTACTGAATTAACCTTCCATGACATTTTTTTCATAGTCATTTCATTTGAATTTTCAGCGAATAGGAACTTATCATTTTGAATGTTTGTGAAAATAAAAGATTCTATATCAAAAATAAATATTTCTAGATTATTCATCGACAAGTTATTATTTTCTGATTATTTTTAAATAATACTCTGACCATTTTTTTTTCTTTATTTGAGGTACGGGACATGCAGATACATCAAAATGGGAATGGGCATCAAATATTCATCGTGATACATATGCATCATATTTAGGTCATTTTGATATGCTTAATCATATAGCTTTATGTGAAAATGAAAGTAAAGCTCGTGTTAAATTTCAATTATTAAAAAAAATGATTCAACCATGTGGACCACCTCATGAAAAAATGGATGAAAGTTAATTAAATTTCTAAACAAGAAAAAAATAAATAAACAAAAAAATTTTTGTTGCTGTTGTTGTTGTTGTTCTATTAATTTGAAAAATAAAAGACAAACATAATGTAGTATTCAATTTTTATTGAGTGACATTCGACTAAGAATTTCAAGTTGAAGAAAAGAACACATTTTTCGAAATATATGACTATGCATTATCTTCATGTTGACATAAACTGATATGAGAAAATAGAAAGTTGTCTTATGTTTTTTATCATGGACATGAAAAAATTTGTTTTTTTCCAGATTTTTCAAAAATAATGTCAACAGTTGAAAGTGATAAAGCGGAATCTAAAACAGCAAGTGTTGATGAAGCAAATTCGAGTTCAACACGTCCAAGTGGTGATTCTGAAAGTGATGGAAAAATTGTTTTTCTTTTGAAAGCAGCAGGTGGTGCACCAATATTAAACAGGAAAAAATGGGCATTACCAAGATCAAAAACTATAGGTCATATTGCTGAATTTCTAAAAAAATATATGAAATTAGATGTTGAACAACAAAAGCAATTATTTCTTTATGTTAATCAAACTTTTGCACCTGCATTTGATACAACTATTGGAGCAGTTAATGATTGTTTTAATAGTGAAGGAATACTTGTTTTACATTATGCATTAACACCAGCATGGGGATGAGAAAATAAAGAATTTTTTACATTTTTTATAAAACTTTTCCTTTTAATTAATTTTTCCTTTTTTTAGCTTTTAGATTAATGTGGAAACAAATTTTTAGAAAAGATTTTATACAAAAAAAATATTATTATTATTATTGTTCCACGTAATTCAATTTCTTCATTATCGAATGAAACATTGACAAATGATCTTGTTCGAGAACGTTGAAAACTGTATGTTCTGAAAAAAAATTATGCTGATGAACGTATATTCTTTTATTTGTTAAAGAACATCCATAAAATGCATCCAATTACAGGGAAAAGGAATCATCCATTAGTGTTTGCTAAGTCTTGAATTAAATTTGATTATGACTGTATTTTTAAAAGAGCATTTTGTCAGAATACTATAGTGTATTATTTAGGAATGACATGAATGAATAATAGATTCATTGGTCGTAAAAATTAGAGCCGTTTGAAAAGTAGCATCACTATCATCTAAGAGTGTTGGATATTTGAATAGAAAATCAATGGTTTTTCTGATTGTTATTTTTGAAGTGTCATTCATCAGTAATTATAACTTTCATGAAATGTATCTGTCTCTTTTTTTTTGCATCTGTGAGTAACGCTATTCAATGATTTATATCTTTGATTATAATGTTATAAACCTTCCAAAAGATTTAATTTTAATTTTCTTTTTTTGTCTGACATATGCTTAAAAAAGAGGGATCCACATTTTCGGTTGTACTAAATTTTGAATTTTGGAAAGCATCGAAATTCAATAAAAAGACTTTTGATAACATAAAATGAGGCTCCGTCAGGATGAACTTGGATTGAATATTGACATATATTTGATGTCTTTTTTCAAACACTTTATTAATGCACTGTTGTTTTCAATAGAATCAATAACATTATTAAATAAAAAAATTCTTTCTGAATATTTGTCTTTAAATTGAACATGTAGAAAAGGGTAGAAGAAAAGATAAACAAATAGAGTAGAGGTTTTACTTTTAATACAATCTACTAAAGTCCGATGACATATAGGCATGATTGGTAAGAAAAGTCTTCTTAATAGAAAAGCTTGTAAATAAATAAATAGATATTTTATTTAGTAGTTCCTGATGAAATGTTTGATTCAACTAATTATGATACAATTGATACAGTTGAACGTGAAGCCGAAGAAGAAATAGGTCTTAAACTAGAACACTATTCAACACTTGGTTGTTTACCACTAATAACTGATTCTCAAGCTGTTATGATAACATCTGTTGTTGCTTTACTTCATTCACCAAAATTTGTTAATTTTCATTTAATATTTGATGAAATAAAAGATGCATTTTATCTTGATCGTAAATAATTTTTATCTTCAAAAAATTATTATAAAATGTTACAAATTGGTGATCATTTAGTAACACGTCATTTTCATATTGAAAAAATATCATTTTTCGTGTGTGACACCTTTTGAATTCATTGTTATTGCTACATTAATTTTTTTAAAACTACCAGAATTTCCTTTTTTTCGACATGGGCAATAATTCGGTTTAAAATTACTTACAAAACAATTACAAGAACCTTTTCGAATGTATGATGGTTATTGAAAAAAAACTGAAATTAAAGAAAAATTTGACGAAATCAGCCGTTTTATTATGATCCTTATTGGTGGAGAATATTTTCAGTTTTTATTTTCATTTCATATTCAGATGGTGAACGTCAAGACTAAATTTTAAAAAAAAAAGTCACTCTGAAAACTTTCCCAAGTACTCTATGAAGCTAAAAATGTTAGTATAGTCATTTCAATGATCTAATTGTATGGATATCTGATTTTTTTATATGAATAAATAAGTTTTTGATAGATATGATATAAAAATGCGTCATATTTGGCATGTCATCAATTCAAACAGTAGAAGTCGATTGAGTTTTAATTTAACAATAAAATCAATATGAGTGTTTCAGAATTCACTAAGAATGATGCATTAAAATGTGTATTTCTTTCCAATGTTTTATTCCAGCAGGCTCAACATAAAATCTGAAACGAAGAGTATAGAAAAGACTTTGAAAACACAAACACCTTAATTTATTATACACCATATGTTGTCTTAGGATGAGAGTTTGAAAACACTACGATGATTGAGCACTGCGACAATAAGTCGCTTATATGTAGAACTTTCAAAAAGTTTCGAGCTTGATGTTATTCGAAAATGTAGAAGTATTTTATAATTATTAATGCATGTTTTCTTTCTTGAAGTATTTTCTGTTTGCAGAAAATTGCAACAAAGAGTTTAAATCTGAAATTTTCTCCAACAATAGCTATCATAGTCCTTATGATGTCATAAAAGTGTCAGCTCAAACGAATTATTTCTTCTTAAGATATCTTATGTCTAAAAAACTAGGCTTTTTGGAGATCTTGTTTGAAAGCGCGGTCGTTTTTTCAAACGTGTTAACTCAGAAGTCAAACAAATGTTTGAACTGAATCTTTCCGAATAATATACAAGACATCAGAGCTATTGGTACGAAAGATTTCAGGCTGAAACTCCGTATGGCTACCCCTTCTTCTTGATATTCTGAAATAGACTAAAATTTCAGTACAACGATCATAAATCGAGAAGAAAAGCTCAATGGCATGAGTACTTCCAAGAATTTTATTTACACTATGAGTCCTATCTATTAGCAAAATATGAGCTTAAGCGAAGATTATCAGTCGGATAGGTAACCGTATCATATATTTTGTTAATAAGAGAAAGATTAATGTTTGTTAGAAAATTGACTTCAACACACGATGACAATTTGGAGAAAATAAAATGATTCAATTTTATATTCAATGCTAGTTTTTAAGCAAGGATATCCCGGAATATTTTCATAATTATTAATGAAATGTGTTTTTAAAAATAAAGTAAGTGAAGAAGATTTATCAGTTACACTACAAGTTTAAATATTTAGTCTTGTAACAAAGATCAGAACAAATCTTGAAATAGTAAGAGAGATGACAAAAAAAACAATGCAAAGGAAAATATTTGATTAGTAATAAATGATAATGATTGTTCATCTTCACAAACGTTCAACTTAGTGAAACAAGTGTATATGCGTTTCTTTTTTTAGTTAGTCGATAAAACCAATCAATACGTAGACTCTCTTTGTTAAATGAGAAAATGTATCGAAGATATATATATAAATGTCGCAGACCAGTCTAAGATTGGCCTGATCCGAGATTGCCCTACGATATGTATATCTGTTAGCGTCCAATCTCGAACTGGCCTAGACCAATCTTGGATGTTTACATTGAACTAATCCAATTTTGGATCGACGCAATGCTTTTTGTTAAAACATCAATTAATCTTTAGATAGACGTTGGATTCGCATTCTTTGTATGAATTGTGTTCAGACAATCCCATTTCAAATGACATAATCGTCGTTGGAGAGGTTAAAGTAGATTTTGTGAAATTATGAATAAGTTTCTACAGAACAATAGCTTTTATGAGAAATTGTCAGTAAGTTTTTGAGTCTGAACTTAGCTTCTTCAAGGTTGATTGCAATACTTAAAATGGCACTGTCTCAACATAAAACCTAAAAATAATTCGAATCCAGTGTCTATCTAAGGATTAATTGATGTTTTAACAAAAAGAATTGCGTCGATCCGATACTAGATTAGCCCAATGTAAACATCCAAGGTTGGCTTAGACCAATTCGAAATTGGACGCTAACATACATATATATATAATAAAGTCTTAGTTTTTCAAAAGCTGGATAGAAATAAGCTATATTTTCATGTCAAAGACGATCAAGAATATTTCGTAGAACTTCAACAACATTTTTTTTCATTGAAAGTTCTTGTATTTTTCAAAAAATAGCCTACTAACTCATATTCATATAAACAACAGTAAACAAGCCTAACAGAATCTATGAAATAGAGTTAAATGTTCGTTTTCATTTTAGTATCGTTGACAAATAACATTTTATGTTCATCATATAATTAATATTGAAAAAATCTCGATTTTATTCATGTAACTGCGATTTAATGTTTTGGAACAAAATTACCTTTTTCTCAAAGATAGATTTCTGCCTCAGTATGATGCAACTATATGAAATTATAGCGAAACAATAATCTAGAACATCCATTTAGCCATGTTTGCTCAAGTTGAATTTAGATAAGCACTCTTCTTTATAATAAAAATAAATTTATATAAAAAAAAACGAGTTCTTTAAGACTTTGTAACTAGAGTTATAAGGAAACGATTGGATAGAAAGAAAATCTTTTGGAAATTCTAATTTACGAAATCAACAAAATAAAATATATTAAAGTTTTAACTTGAAACACTATAGAACTATTTCATGAATAGGTGAACCATTGAATAGACTTCGACATCTTGCTTAACCATTTAAAGTCAATCATTTTATATCAGGATATTCTTAAGTCTATTTAATAAAGATTTCTCATAGCCATAAAAATAGTATCAAAGCTCAAATATTTTGCTGCACATAATATGGAATCTAATCTGAAAGAAGATTTCAAAAACTTCTATTTGTCACTTTAAGAGCGAGAGAATTCACTCATCTAAAGCATATGTAGCAGAATATTGTATTAGTCACTCAAAATTCGATTTATTATAAAATATTAATTCATCACATAACACATTTTACAAATCAAAGTTATCAAAGTATCTAAACTGCCATTGTTGACCAAAATAAATTGTTTTGACAAGTCGATATCGAGATTGTGTTTTATTTATTATCATCTTAACCTTGACTCTTTTCGTTGACCAAAATTCACGTGTATAGAATGTTTGTACAATGTCTTCGTCAATGCCAGCACCATAATCAATAGTTAATTGTCTTAAATTAGTCAAATACTGTTCAATCAACTGTTGCCATTGTGAACCATTGGTAACTGGAAGTCGTCTATCGTTTTCCTCATCTATATGTAGTCGACGTAAACAAGGAAACACAGAAAGTGTGGTTTGTAGACTGGCGAAGTTACCGGAGTGCTTCATATGTAATTCATTAACGTGTTTCAAAGCAAAATTCGGTGGTACATTCAATAAGTTATAGTATCCGATAAATTTTAGTGATTTGAGATTCGGTACATTACTTTGAAGAAATTGAAGGAAATTTATTGACCAATAACAGTTATTAATTGATAGATGACGAAGTTGTAAAAACTGAACTGAAACAGTAGGGAAAGCGTGTACATAACTTGCGCAGGATAGTGAAAGATTAACAAGTGAGGTAAATCGATCAGCATTATTGACTAATATAAAATGAAAGAGAGAAGGATTGTTTGAATTTTTATAACACCAACGTTCTCCAATAAATAAGCATTTAATTTGATTACCACTTGGAAAATGTTGAAATAGTTTACTTATGGATTGGCTATCGATTTCACGTAAACGAACTGACCGTAGATTTTCTTTAGCAGCAGATAAAAAATGATTATCAATGTTACCATCATTATAACAAGATAATATACGAATTTGTGATGGATTGGCAAATGATTTCAGGATATTCCAATTTCTTTCGTTTTCATTTGCTGAGTCAAAAACCATGTGTAAATGAGCCGATTGAAGAATACCATTAATACGATTATTCAATCCATAAAAAGCTTGATACAAATTGTATGCATCAAGATATTCAAAAATATCAAGAAATAATTCATTGCTTAACGATTCTAAATGATTGACAATAGCGGGACACATGTCAATCAATAGTATGTTATACTGTTCTGTTGTTCTTTGACTTATTTATATCAAGTAATTGTCTAGAGTTGCATCAGCAACGTGCAAGTTTTACAGCAGAACAGAAAAGACGGTGTATTGACTCATATGTTTTATTTTGCAATAACTTTAGTCGAGAAATGTTTCCTCTAATACCACATAAACAATTCATTTTGTTTGTGTACATTAGAATCAAAAAAAAGATGTCATTCTCTGACATTTCTATTTCATTTGAACAACAACCGTTTCCTGTGATCATCTTTTAAGGGAAACAAGCGAATTAAGGAAAAATATGAAAACCATCATAGATGCTTATGGAATCGTATATTTGTAACGACTTTAGATAGAAGAGTCGCTAGCGTTTATGAAGTTACGCTTCATTTGACCTCTTCGCATCACTAATCATGTCGTTTATCCCGAATTTTACCCGTTTAAAAGCGCCCCCCCCCCCCCCCCCAAGAGAGATAGGAAACAGGAGAGAGAACGAAAGAAGCAGAAAAGGGTCAAAGCGAGCAAGATGGTTCACAATGCATAGTTAAAATAGAAAGAAGAATAAAGTATATGATATAAAGAGAAGACAAGGGAAGGTTAAACATTAACCATGAAAAGACAATTCAACCAAGTAATAAGAGTAGATAATGGCGCACACCAGACTCATGCAAGAATGTCACACTAATTATAATCGATTTAGCACGAAATCGGAGCCACAAATGGAGAATAAATTTTTCTAAAATAGACTTCTCTATTTTTTTTTCTTTTTATTGCAATCTCTGAAATTTGAAGCTGAATATATCAAATTTAAGGTTGCTTTTTACTTTAATTTCATCGACAGACTGATTGATATTATTTCCAAACATAGCACTGAGTGAGAGTGGCGGAGCTTTGACTAACATGAAGCAGATCGAATAATGATGTTCGATTACATGTATGACCGAACTCGGCACTATTTTACTTTAGATATAGTGCCCTCACCCTCATGTAGTGCTTTGAATGCAAGTCATATTTCTTGTTCCCCAAACAATAATCTTGCCATAAAGTTGCTTTACTTTATTAAAATATTTATTTAGTAATAAATTTGAGCAATCCAACGGCACAAGCTAAGTCTTCTTGTAAGAAAAACAAATCAGCAAGACGCCTTGAATCGGCTCGTTTAAACACGTACGATCACAAAATCAGTCAAACTGTCTCACGTAACAACGCGAATATCTATCTAAACAAGTATCTCAAGCGCAAGACTAGTCGCATCGTATGGGATACGTCGACTACTCTAATGAGGCCAATCAAAATGCTAGATTGAATAAACATCTGAATCAAAATCATGAGCTTATTCTATAGAGTAGATCGATTTAACACGTGACTAAAAATTCGAATTTTTCTGCTGAACAAATGCATTGATGATAATGAACATCTGAACTCTTTGGAAAGTACTATTTAATTGAAAATTTTTCATTTTTTGACTAGATTTATATAACCAATAAAGGTTTTCGATTGTACGATTCTATGAACCTTTACAATTGTATTCATATCTCCCTTAATTCGTTTGCTTACATTAAATGTTGACCATAATTCCAAAACAAAGAATATACTTTGGAGATCAAATAGGGCTTGTTACTACAGTCATTCAATTTCAATCTATATTATGCGTAAAATTTGTTGATATCTGATTAAATATCATTTTTTATCATTTCAATAAGACAAACTTTCTAATGTATTCGTCTAAAACTTATTTTCATTCAGCAATTAATCATGTGTTCATGACGAGAGAAATAAGTTTTTCTCTTCAAGAACAGTAGATTCATGACTATTGTGAAATTCGGATAAATTTGAACTTGAAATTAAAAAAGAGAACTAAATTCTTGTTCTACCCTAAGTAGCATTGACAACCAATACTTTTCTAGAACAATCAAAAATAATGCTTAAAAAAATATTTTTCAGCATTTTACATTTCAGTTTCAACTATTACAGTGAACATTCTATGTCGTCAGACTGATAATATTTTATAACAGCTTAATCTGTTTCTATATGAAACCTCCAGAAACTTTCATGATAAAAATGACAACAATGATAAAAAAGTGTATTTTATTGCCAATATGCAAGAAATGTATATTCACCTGAAGCTACTCTAATTGACATTGTACCTGTTAACTCATTTTCACTCAAATCACTCACTCCACGCACATCTTTTAATAATGTCAATTTATCATTCATCCTTTCTCTCATCCACATGACCTCATCATCATATATCAGTTTTATACAATGTCCTTTTTCAATTAATGGATCGAATGAAACAATCGCATCGATATTAGTTGGTATAGTAATTGATAATGTCACAACATTTACAGATAATCTTGACCATTCTACTCGAATTGATCCTTCGATAGTAACAACTTCAGCTTTGACATGAGTCAACAGAGCAACATCATAAGACATTCGAGGATAAATAGTAATTGTACGAAGAGCATTTAATTCGATTCCTGCTAAATATCGATAAAACCATGCACCAATACTATTAAACATATGATGATTTAATGATGATCTTGCTCCTTGTGGTAATGTATTCCAAAGTTCCCATGTAGTGGTAGCATTCTGTATATCATTATGAAACATGTAACCATAAGATGGATAAGATGTATCTAACGCAAGTTTTAAGGCTAAATCATGATGTCCTTCCCTGGAAAGAAGAGGATATAAAGGAGCGACACTAACAATACCTCCAGTAAAATGACCGGTTGTAGTAATATCTTTAATTAATAAATTGAGTACAGTTTCACGAAGTGATGTTGGAACAACATCAGGCAAAGCCAATGCAAGTATATTCATTGCTTGACTTTCGTCAACGTAACCACCAACAGCTGCATTGTAGAAGGCACGATGAAACTCATTGGTTAATTGCTTATATAATTGTGTGTATTTTTGAACAATATCAGTTTGATTAAGAATCTCACTCATATTAATAAATGTATACACATCACGAAGATAAGCATAAGCGGAAACTAATGAAGTGTTAGATGTTTCCTGAACTGTTGCCCAGTCACCCCAATAATAATACATTTTAGCTAATCCAGTCTTTTGGTATTCTCTAGTTAAGCAATCAATCCATGCTTGAATACCTGTATAATATTTTTCAATAATAGTAATATCGCCTGTATGTTCATATAAATACCATGTAATTGTCACATATGCTGTACCCCAGTTAGGATCAGCCGGACTAAAACCAACTGTAAATGGTACTGTGTCACTTACTGCACCCTCAGGTGATTGATTATCTGAAATCATCGTCAAAAAATTAAGATAAAAATTAACATAATCAAAATTAAATAATGTTTCATCAATACTAAGTCCAGCATCACCCATCCATCCTCGTCGTTCATTTCGTTGTGGACAATCAGTAGGTAAAGACATTGAATTACTCAATTGAGACCACAAAATATTATGTTGAATTTGATTTAATATATCACTACTACTTGTGAAATTACCAATGAGTTTTGTTTCACTATGTGCATTATAACATTCAATGTTATCTTTGTTAATATTATCATATCCATTCACTAATAAATATCGAAAACCATGATAAGTAAATAATGGTTCAAATGTTTCATTGCCTGTTCCATTTAAGATTACTGTATCCATCACAGCTATGCTAGCCAAATTTTCATAATACAAACCAGCAAAATCAATACCATTTTTTCCAGTTGAATATCGCAATTCAGCGTAGCGCAGTTGAATGATAGTAGATTTCGGAGCATTGAGTGAAGATAATTTACACCAGCCAGCAAAATTTTGACCAAGATCAAACACTTGTCCATTCACTGAATCTTGAGAAATCGGTTTAAGTACACCACTATCAGTAAGACTAGCACCTTTCACTCCATCTACATTACCTAAACGACCTGATGTAGCAATATGTAGTGCTCCCGGACCAATACGAATAGGATCCATGAATTGTAGGGATAATTGACCTCCAGCTGTAAAATTTACTGGCGATGGTAAGATAGAAGCATTTATCCATAAAGAGTATCGATCAGTAAAATTGGCACATGACCAACAAGAACGTGCCACTCGAAGATCCATGGTTGTACCCATGTAAATGGAATCATAACGATGTTCACTCTCTCTACCTAACCAAGATGAATTGGTAACAATAGACTGCTTTGTACCATCTATGTATTGAATATTTAATTGCATTAGTACACGTGGTGAACCGTATTGTTCAGAAAGATCAGGACGTGCACCTGGACCAATAATCCACTGTTGACGATTGTACCAACCTTGACCTAAGATAATTCCGATACCTATCGAACCAGTCGTGTTCAATACACTAGTTAAGTCATATGAAACATAAAGTGTACGTTGTTGATATGTAGTCCAGCCAACATCCAATCGCCGTGTCTGGTCAATCAATTTTCCTTCGACATACAACTGATAATAACCAATACCACTGATGTAAGCAGTAGCTGAGTGAATTGCGATTGATTGAATCGTAGCAACAGTTCGTAATTGATTCATATTGATATCATTACTACCAATCCATTCACCTGACCAGTCAGTCAATGAAAAGAGTGCAGTACGAAATTGAGTAGTATACGGTTGACTTTCATATTGTGTACTATAGTATTTGATAGTAATTGTGTAGCGTGTGTCAGATGTGAATGATCTACCTGCATAAAGGATATGTGTAGATGAAGATGAAGGTACACAACCGCTGTCCCACATGACTTGATTATTGATGATGGTGCTAACAAGAATATGGTAGGCCACTTGTTTTGTGCCTCTTATCAAATGACCATTACTATCATATTCCGAAGCTATTTGCCATGAAAAGTGCGGTTTTTGAACATCAATAACTATATCAGGATGAGTATCGACATCAATGTGTTGAATACGTACATGATGGGGTACAATAAGTGAAGATGAAAATGACGAAGAGTTCAATGCATTAAAATGTTGAAGACAACGACAGTTGCTCTTGGCAACTACCAAGA